GGATAGGAAGATGGAATGGGGATTGATGGTCTCTCCTGTCTCCAGCAGCGTCTCCTGCTCTCTGAGCTCAAACACCAAAATGTCAGGGGTCAGAGGTCAAGATGGACTCCAGTGCAGGGGCAGCCAGTGGGAAGACCAGTGTGGATGGAGGTTGACGCTCTGTCCTGTGTTCATTTCTGTAGTTTTCCGGAATGTCCAGTGGCAGACAGTGGGAAGATGGGTATGGATGAGGAGTTGGAATGGAGCTTGGATGCTCACTCCTGTCTCCTGCCTCAGTCCAGAGGCTGCCAGTGGGAAGATGGGTATGAAAGGTGTTGGGATTGACATTGGACTGTATTTTCCTTAAATTTCCATGCTGGCCAGAGGCTGATAGTGGGAAGACGGGTATGTATGAAGATTGAACCCTCTCCTGTACTCTTGTTCCCTAACTTTCCAGGATGTTCTGAGGAATACTGTGGGAAGACTGGTATAGATTGGGGGTTGGATGCTATCTACTGTTTCTTTTCCCTAATTTTCCAGGATGTCCAGAAAAATCAGTGGGAACACCAGTGTGGATGAAGCGTTGGGATGGAGGTTGACACTCTGTCCTGTGTTCATTTCTGTAGTTTTCCAGGATGTCCTGAGGCTGCCAGTGGGAAGATGGTATGGATGAGGAGTTGGGATAGAGGTTAGCTGCTCCCTCTGTTTTTTTTCTTCCTTTTCCAGGAAAGGGGCAGAGGCTGACATTGTGGAAGACATGCACGTATGAAGATTGAACGGTGTCCTAAATTCTTTTCCCTAATTTTCCAGGATGTTCACAAGCAGACAGTCGAGAGGCAGGTGTAGTGTTGGGATTGATGCTGAACTCTTTCTACTGTGTTTTCCAGGCTGGCCAGGGGCAGATAGTGGGAAGACAGGTATGGCTGGGAGTTGGGATGGAGGTGAGGAGCTCTTTCCTGTCTCTTTCTTCCTCCTTGTGTCGGTCTCTGTGACGTCTCTCTGCCTGTCTCTTGAGCTGTGTGTCTTTCTCTCAGTCCAGCTGCTTGTGCTCTGTAAAACACTACACTTCTGCAGTATTAAACAGGGCTGTTTGACTGTGGATTGCAGGTTCGATTCCAGAGTGAGACACAGTCTTGTACCCCAAAGTGAGGTACTTTGCTCAGATAGACTGTTCTCATAATGGTTATCAGATGCTGTACATTTAATACACTGACATGTCTATGTTGAACTTTCACCTGTACTGAGCTGTTACTCAATGATATAGACCAGTGTGCTGAAGTCTTCCCTAAATAATACTTTAACACACGATCCTGTGTACTGTAGTCCCATCTCCACTGAGTGTTAATACTGGTGATCCTCACACTTATTTACAAAACTCTCTCCTGTACTGAGCTTTAATTCTCAATGACAGACCTGTGTGCTGAGCTATCCTGTGGACTGTACTGTAATACTTAAACCAGCGTGCTGAACTTGTACTTAATTTAATTCTCACACTGACACACAAGTGCTGAACTATACTGTGCTTTCATACTCAAAAGTGTGTACTGACCCCTGATGTGGACTGTAGTATCATACTTAAACCAGTGCTAAACTCTCACCTTTACTGTGCTTTAATCCTCAAACCTGTGTGCTCAGCTCTCACCTGGACTGCACTAAAATACTTAAACCAGTGTTGTGCAGATCTCTAACTTGTAAGTGAGCTTTAAAATCCAGTCACATGGTTGTATGCTGAAATTTCATCTGTAGTGTACTTTAGTACTTGAATCTGTGTGCTACACTCTTACCTTAATTGAGTTTTAATACTCTGACACCTGTGTGCTTTACTCTCACTTGCTTTAAAATTTCTCAGATCCGTGTGGTCAGCTCTAGCCTAAACTTAAACCAGTTTTTTTCCTGTGCTTTAATACAGAAACCTGTGTGCTCATCTGTCACCTCGAGTGTACTCAACATAAGGGGTACTTTTTCCAGTGTTATTAATACTGAAGCCTCTGTTCTGAACTCTCATCTCCACTGAACTGTAATGTGTGGTAATACTTAAACCTGTAAACTTAACTCTTACTGTGCTTCAATACTTCAATCTGTGTCGTCAGGTCTCACCTGGACTGTACTGAAATACTTAAACCAGGGAGGTGAGCTTGTACTGAGCTTTACTATTCAGTGACGTGTATACTGAGCCTTCATCTGTAGTGTATTTCAATACTCAAATCTGTGTGCTACACTCTTACCTCTACTGAGTTTCAGTACTCAAAGACACACCTGTGTGCTTTACCCTCACCTTTGCTGTACTGTAATAGTAAACCCAGTGTGCTGATCCCTAACTTGTAAGTGAGTTTTAATACTCAGTGACATGCATGCTAAACCTTCACATGCAGTGTATTTTAATACTCAAATCTGTGTGCCGGACTGTCAGCTGTACAATACTCAGCCCTGTGTGATGAACTGTAACCTGTATTGTAATACTCATATGTGAATTGGTATTATTTTGCAGTGCTCAGACGTGTGTACTGAACTCTCACCTGTACTGAGCTTTAATACTTAAACCAGCATGCTGAACTCACATGGAGCGATCTGTACTATTCAGTGACGTCTATGCTCAACCTTCATCTATAGTGGACTTTAATACTGGAATGTGTGTGCTACACTCTTACCTTGACTGAGATTCAATACTCAATGACACACCTGTGTGCTTTACTCTCACCTTTTAAAAAAAATAAATAATTCTCAGATCTGTGTTCAGCTCTCACTTGGACTGTACTAAAATACTTAATCTAGTGTGCTGATCTCTTGTTCAAACTGAACTTTAATTCTCAGTGCTACAACCATTTCTTAAACCTGTGCTCACAGTGTATTTGAATACTCAGGTCTCAGTGTTGAAATGAACTGTCCTATTGTCAGAGTCAGCCCTGTGTCCTGTGCTCTTATAATACATATAATACCCAGACCTGGGTAGTGTATGGTGATGTGAACTGTCACTTGCATTGTGTTGTAGTACCTGGACCTGTCTGCTATTCTGTGCTGTGAACTGTCACCTGTATCATTGTAATATCCAGTCATGTGTACTGTACTAAAATGTAATATGATCCATGTACCAAACTATCACCTGTACTATATTATAATACTGACCTATCACTTGTTGTAACAGTTGTGTAGAAAGCTCCATGGCTGAACTGTTTCCTTTCTTCTCTTCAGCAGGAGAGAAACCTGGCCTTGTTCCTTTGCTGCCTCCACAAGCAGATGTAGCCCTCTCGTTGAACTGTTGTAACACTCAGTCCTGTGTACTGTGCTGTTGTGAAATTGAAGAGTGGCGTGTTGAACTGTTTATTAATGCTCAACGCTGTGTACTGTGTTGTAATATGAGGACTGCTTTACTGAACTGTCCCTTGTACAGTGTTGTAACACTCAGGTCTCTGTACTGTATTTCTGTGTAACAGGGATTGTGGATTATTGGAAAACATCACTGGTACTTGATTGTAATACTCCAAACTGTGTATTGTGCCATTATGTGAACTGTTACCTCTGTTGTGTTGTAATACTTATGTTTAAAACTGTCACCTGTGCTGTTCTGTCATATTCATGCGTGCATCCTGAACTGGCACTTTCATAGTGTTGGAACCCTTGTTACTGTATATGAATGTAACACGGCTTTCTAGCTGAACAGATCACCTGTCCTTGATTGTAATATATAGCCACCTGTAGTGTAGTGCACTGTGCTCTGTTGCCTGTATTGTTGTAATGCCCTGTGTGCTGTGCTGCAGTGTAATATGGACTTATGCCTAAATCTGTCACCTGTATGTGTGTGTTTTATATTAATGTATGAACTGTCCCCTGTATAGTGTTTACTGTATGGTAGTGTATTACTCAAACTTGTGTCCCACACTGTCACCTGTACTGGATTGTAGTAGTTAAAGGTGTTTAATGTTATATAGTACTGTGGTTTGCTGACATGGGTTGTAATACCCTACACCTGCCTACTGTATTGTGAACTGTCACCTCTACTGTATTGTAATATGCAGCTGGGGAGAGGTAAGTCTGACCTGTTCTATTGGGAATGGGCCAGTTGTCTGTACTAAACTTCTGCTACTCTTTCAATGCTCAGTTGTCCAGTTGCCAGTATGGTGCTGGAATGGACAAACAGGCCTCCTACTGTTTTTATAAGTTTTTAGGTGTTGACCTGTTCCTGGCCTGAGCTGTTTCCTGTGTTTTACATTATCTCACTGGGTGAGGCTTCAGCTGAAGTCTCTTTTTGACCTCAGGTTGCTGCTAGTTAAGAAAGCAAAAGCGATCGAGGTGTTCAAAGAGGGGAACATAAGATGGCACAGGGCCACCCCCTGTGAGGGGGGAGATGGAGGGGTGTGTGTTAGAGAGGTGGGAAAGACGTGTTCATGGTTTTCTGATGTGGGTGGTGAAGATAGGCTGTACTAAAAAAAAAGTCTTCTCCCTCCTGCCCCTAACTGTTTAGGTACAATTTATTTTTTCCCAGTTCTAGCCCATCTGGTTTCAGGTTGTTTTTTTCTGGTCTTTCCCTTCCCACAGGGAATATGAACATGTGCCTCCAGTGCCTTAGTTCTGGGCTGTGGTCATCATGAGGTTAACTTGTTTCAAGGGGGGAAGGCTGATCTCTCCGGTGTTCTTTTGGGGGGGGACCCCAGATGTGTTTTTAAGGTTGTAACGCTCCCTGATTCAACTGCTCTACGCTGCGATAAGGTTATTGGAGATGTGTGTGACTCGGGGCTGGAGTTGTGCTTCAGGACAGAGCTCTGGGTGGTGTCTGTGGGCCGGTAGAAGGAATGTCTCCTCGGGGGAGTGGAGCTTGTGTGCAGCAGGAGCTGTGTACAAACACACCACCCCTCTGTCTGAAAGGTGAGAGAGCTGACTGTGCTGTGAGTGAAGCTGGTAAGTACCAGTGAGTGAATATTAATCTACCTGCTGCCTCTAAGCAGGAGGGATCGAGGTTGAGCAGGAGCTCTTAATTGTTCAAGAGGGAGAGAGCGGATTGCTACTTCACAGCCTCAACCAATCTGCTTTCTCTTCAATGTAATGCACCTCCTTCCTCTTGGCTCCCTGGTACAGTCATCCTCTCCAGGCTGGACTCCTCTTACACTGAGTGATACAGGTGGGGGCAGTGTTGGAGTGTGTGGAAGATGGGCCGTGGCAGTGGGAGTTGGGGGTGGGGTGTTACTTTCTCACTGGGACTGTCCTGCTGCAGGACTTCATGAACTACGTTTCCCAGCATGCCATGGGGGAGAATGGTGGCCAATGAGCTGCCTCCCCTGGGTTAATGAGGCTCAGCTGGTGTATATAACAAGGGGATGGGAGCTCAGCTCCAGCAGCAGGGTGGAAGGTGGAGGCAGTAGTTTGATCAGTGAGTTGGACTTGTGGGTGGGAAGAAAACATTTGAGCTGCAGAGAAACTGGCAGCGGTTTTAAGAAGGGAAGAGATGGAGGGACAAGTGGGGGTGGTTCTCAGTGAACGAGGAGCTGTCCTGGGGCCTGGGTTCAGATTTTATTCATCTCTTCCTTCATCAGTTCTCTCCCTGGGAGCAGGATCTGTGTTCCTGGTGCTTGAAGGCCGCGGGGGGGGGCTCTGGGGTGCAGGCAGGGCCTGTGTTTCTCTTTCCTCTCAGAGGAGGCTCAACAGGAGCCCCTATGAACATCTAGAACCAGACTGGGCAGGGGCCCTTATTTCTTCCTGTGCTTGTTTCTCAGGGACCTGGTGTGGACGTGTGCTGGTGACCCCCTAGTCATTTGACACCCACCCACTGCGGTCAGACCCTCAGCTACAGGGACCAGGAGGCCCAGCGGGGCAGCTCTGGGCACAAACACTCACAGCCACAAGG